AGGTACGGGTACGGGTGCGCTGGTACATGGACAAGGTACGGGTACGGGTGCGCTGGTACATGGGGAAGGTACGGGTATGGGCGCATGGCGTGCATGTTGCTGCGTGCATGGGTGCGTAGGTGCAAGTGCGCGGGTATGGCGCTCACCGGCAGTGTCCAGATAGCTTCGCTGCGTGCATGGGGGCATAGGCGCACGTGCGTGGGTATGGCGCTCACCGGCGGTGTTCAGGTAGTTTCGCTGCGTGCGTGGGGGTGTAGGCGCTCGCCGGCGGTGTTCAGGTACTTTGGCTGCGTGCATGGGCGCATAGGTGCAAGTGCATGGTATGGTATGGCGCTCACCGGCGGTGTTCAGTTAGTTTGGCTGCGTGCATGGGCGCATAGGTGCAAGCGTGAGGGTATGGCGCTCACCAGGGATGTTCATGTAGTTTCGCTCCGTCCATGGGTGCATGGGATGTTCAGGTAGTTATTGTTTCACAAAATTTCATAAAGGCAGACTTGTAACATGATGTTTCACAAAAGCTATCAAAAGCTAAGTATCACTATTCACGCTTATGTAAAGGTTCCTCACAGCTTGAGTAGACCTCTTGCAATTTGAAAGACACCTTGTCAAGTCCATGCCATTGGTTGCAAGAGTGTGAAATGATGTTGGCATGGTTCCTTGCAGCTGACCGTGGATTGTTTTCAACGTTTGAAGCACAATGAGGCAAACAACAAGGAAACGGTTCAGTAGCCAATGAATTTGTTTGCCACAGCGCTTGCTTACCAAGACGCAGCTAATTCACCAAGCACCGCAAAGGGAATTAACACAAAACCGCACACTGCACCAACCAACTGTTGCGACTGTTAGTTCCACCCCAGTGATGGTCACTTCACATGATCTTGGTCAAAGTCACTAATCCAATTTATGTGTTCATATGTGTTCATCATGTCTGGTGATGGTGAGCTGCGGAATGCCCTTGCAGAGCTGGAGAGAATGGAACGCGAGCAGACTGGACAAGCGAGAGCCACGAGAATGCAAATGAAGCGTCTTGGCTTTGCTAGGTCAGTTGACAGTAAAAAGTGAACAAAACAAACATGGGAAAGGGTTCAACCAATGTTTTTGACACGGGCAGCTGCTCCTCTATAAGGCTGGCTCGCAAAGCGCGCCACGTCAAAGCAGTCATCAGCAAGATGAAGAAGAATCACGATAAAGCAGTTTCGCTCTTCAATAGGCGGACTGCTATTCGAAGGGGTGAAACGATTCGGGACACTTGGCCTGTGAGCTGTTAGACTAGATGTTTAGCGAGAGTGACTAGGTTCCTGCGCAGTCTCGACATTCAATAGCTAGAAACAAGCAGAAAGCAAATTTAGATAAATTTAGTATTACAGTATGGCAAGTAACCAAGTGGCAAAACCAGTGAAATGCTGGTTTGTTGCCCAGGACCGCCCTTTGAAAGGCAAAGGAATGCACAAAGTCTGGACAGCGCACTCAATGCTCAAAGCTTCGTTTACCTCTTAGCTGCGTCAGCTTCAGCAGTCATTGCTTGGAGTTTAAATGACAAAGAAAAGAACTAAGGTTCGGCCGATGTGGGGTTTCAATGGCAACCAGCACGTGTCCTGCGCAGCATTCCACATCATCCTGTGCATACTGGTTCGAGAGCTGCGCAACACATGTCCAGAAGGCCATAAACTTGCAAGACACATGTACTGTACTGCATAGAATCAGACTAGACTAGACAGAACCAGATAGAACCATACTAGATAGACTCCTGATTTGGAAGCAGCTGCAGGTCAGAGATGCCATTTGCAACGTATGGCACAAGTTGCAAGACAGGCTGGCTAATAGCATGGTTGCCAACCCGCAGAAACCCAGATTCGTGAAGAGTCTTGGTTCCGATGGCTTCTGTGTTTCTGTGCTTGGCCTTTCTGGTGTTTGCGCTTTCCAATTGTTCGCATGGAGTCATGGCCTGGTGTGTTTTTGAGTCTTGTCTACCGGGCATTTGAGGATAATGATCGAGTCTGATGAGACCCAGCAGGAGACTTCAATTCGGACACAATGGATGGAACATGTGCAGGGCTTATTATCGTTATTATATACCGATGCCGATACCTTATACCTGGCACACATTCTCACTTTGTTCTCGAAGTCTACGTTTCTTTTGGTCTAGTTCTGTTTCAGATTTTGAGGTGTGGGGCTCTTTCAACGTCCTTATCCAGCGGTGTGAGGTCGTGCTGAAATTTGTTGGATTTCCTCTCAGGCTTGCCATGCAGTGCAGTTTTTCAACCTGACACTGAAACATGTTGAGAAGACTCTATTTTAGAGAGTTTGCCTGGGAATTAGGTTCCAGTCCTTCGTGGTGGCTCCAGCAATCCTACGGGAGAGTACAGCTCAAGCCCTCTGGAATGCTGTTAAATTGAAACAACCTATACAGAAGCTTTCCAGCAGAAAGATTGTTCATTTTGAAATGGTGTGTTCAATTCGGTTGCATTTTACTGGCATTAGCAAAACAAGGCGTTTCTCAAAGCTAAGGCCCTTTCAGTGGCAAGCCGCTGCCTCTGATCTCTGCATCTTGCATTTGATTGGTGATCATGCGAAGACCAATGGACTGATGGGGAAGATTGCCTCAGCAGATCCTTCATTGCCAGAGCACTGCGCAGTGTCTCAATTGAATCTTTCACGTTCAATGTTCAACGCCTGCGCAGTCATCGGTATGTGATGCCTGTTTTTTCCAGCCGTATATTCTTGTCACGGGCCAGTCTTTGATGTCATCATCACAAGTATGAGTGGCCTTCTTGCTTGTTGCAGGTCCTACAGCATTGGTGTGATGCACACGAAACTCACCACATGTCAGAGACTGGTTGGGCAACTCACTCTGTGATAAACCCGATGTTCTGTGCCTCCCAAGTGCTGCATGCAGGGCACAAGTTTCTGGTGTTGCTTGAACATATTAGGCGCATGATGGAAACAGAGCTTCAAGTCAGCTATGACTGGCCATCTCCGGAAGTGCTTGATCGAAATCAAAAACAAACCTATGCGTTGTTGCTAGACGATATTTTGTGTTTTCCAAATTTTGCAATTTTTGTTTGTGAACTGTACAGTACAGTTGACATGTGAACCATGTGACCATGTGTTGTTCTGGATCTCACCCGCTTCATAGCTACAGCTGAGATTGCTTCAGGCTGGAGCTAACTTTCATCAGCGCGGTTGACCTTGAAGAAGACAATGAGACATGGTCATCAGAAAGAAGGGTAATGATTGCTGACCAATTCTTGCGCATGTTTAATGGTGGGAGTGGATTGGTTCACTACTGCAAGTTTGGCTGCTGCCAATCGGCTGAGGACTGAGCATGTACTTTCTATTGTCGCAAGTTCCAATTCTTGACTTGGTTCCCGTTGTTAGTTTGCTTTTCTTGCCGCTTGCTTCCACTGGATTTGAAGTGGGCAGGAGAGCAGGCATAAATGCTGGGCTGCATTCTCTGAAGTCTTCTGCAAATTGAGACCTTGCACCCCAGCTTTGAACAGGTGGACAAAGTGCTTGCAACCTTGCCGCTTCTATTTCTTTGCTGCTCAGATATGAAATGATATTTTTATATGTTTGGCTGAGGGTTCAGGCTCGCTTTTTGTGAGCACCGCCTTTCAGTAAAGCCTTTTAGGTGCGATTTGGGTGGGTTTGCTTGCTCTTGCGCAGATATCATGTTGACCAGGTTCTATTCTTTTGCAACGGCTTTATCGTCCGGGCGTGGCAACACATGTTTGGCAAGAATGTCGAGTCTATTGAGAGCTCTGCCACTGATTTGGTCAGTAGCATTGTCAACACAGCGGAGAGGGATTTGTTCTTTCTTACGCAAGGTGTCCGCAGCAAGAAAGCATCTCAGTGGTTATATGATCCTACCAGTGTCCACGTCATGCTAGTTCATACGATTAGCCAGAGACCTTGTGAACGCTTGCTGCATCACTTTTTCAAACAAGAGAAGGAGGAGTGCTGGAGAGGGCTTCAGGGACAACCGGTGCCATTGCAAGATCTTGCCTCAGTGGCGTTTTCACCAGCCGCCAGGTGCATTGAGGAGTTCATCAGCTTGCTTGCATTCAGCGACCCGTGCACACAAGCTTTACTTCAAGGCAGGGAAGGGGAATGCGGCAGTGAGTTGGCTTTGGGTCTTGTTCTTTTCTGTGTGGATTCTATAGTTACTGCTTCTTTTCCCAAGACTTTACGCAGGAGAGGCTGCTGATGTCCTGAGACACTTCTTCATTGCCTGCACAGCAATCGCGTCAGAGGCTTGGAGAAGATTGGTTTTGCGCTATGAGTCTTTTCCTTGGAAGCTTTCCAAGATATCGGACAGCAGGCTTTCAATGGAAGAACGGCTGCAGGTGGCTTCTGAATTTCAGTCTGCGAGGGATTGTTGTCTAGACCTTTTCAGCCGCAAAGTGCGGGCGCTTATCCCATTCAATGAGCCACTTGGGGAAGTGTGTCAAGATTTCTTGTCGGTCTTCACTGCTGGGAAAGTAACAAACATCACGGTGGAAGATGGGTTTGCACGTGCTTCTTCTATGCGTGCGTACATGCGTGGTCAAGTCCACAAAAGCCCAACCATGGCATCGAAGCACTTTCTCGGAGAG